CTACCCTAGTTAATGGTGTTGTTGCACAATACAAATTTCATATGATTGAAATAGTTCATTCTCTTAATCTTCATTGGAAGATCATCCTTACAAAAAAAATCATTCAAATTGGAGATCATTTAGTCATCCAAATGTACCAAATGAATGGACGGTTCATCATAAATATATTACTATGTACTCGCACATTTGATTTGTTTCATACATAAATTCAATAAAAATAAAAATTAATCGACAATACTAATTTTTACGCTGAAAATACATAATTTGTAAGTGAAAAAATGAGCACATACCTAATGAGAGAATAAAAGTATTATTCTTTATCAAAATTGCTAAAACTTAGGCTTGCCTTTTTATTTTTGGATCAATTAAGTACCTAAACTTTTAATGTTATTCCAAATTGGTCTAAACCTTTTTAAACATTTCAAATAAGTACCCAACCTATTAAAAATGTCATATCCTTTAAGTTGTAGTTAATTTTTCAAATATAGATTATATTGAAACCCCACCAACTGGATATATCATGGACAATATTAATATTAGTTGTCTCAAAATCTAAATTTCTAACAGAAATTATATAATATGGAACCTAATGATCAAATGAGTGTGAATTGAATTGAAAATGCGCCCAAATTAAAATTACATTAGGAGGGCAATCTCTTAACAAAGAAGAAGGTTAAGAATTTAAAGGAACTTGTTTCTACTCATGTGTTTTCCTCATTCGCCGATTTTCAGCTTGTAAAGCTTCCGATTCTTTTTTGTGGGCAATGAAGATAGTGGTGGCCGCATCATAGCAGTCCATACTATTTCAACAACCTCCATGACCTTCTTCTCGATGTTGGCGGCTTGAGTTGTACAGAGGAGGTGGTGGTTTTGCTTTGAGTTTAAAGGTGATGGTCTAGTAGGGTGGTGGTGACTGTTAGTTGGTGAAGGCTATATTTTAATGACCTTGTATTGATTCTGGAGATAAAGTAAGGTCAGTTAGTTTAACTGGGGTTTAATGAATATGACATTTTCAATAGGTTATATATTTATTTGAAATGTTTTAAAAGGTAGATACCAATTTGGAATGACACTAAAACGTTAGAGATTTTTAGGTACTTAATCCTTTATTTTTAGGGAGTTTTAACGAAAAGTCCGCGGTACTGTTTACTTTAACTAAAAATTACTTTTTTACACTAAAAAGTCAATCATGGTACTATTCACGTTACCCTTTATTTTGTCCTTATCGTTAAAACTCAAAGCTTTCAAGCTTTTTTCATTAGTTTTTTATTTATTTTTATTTAAAAGAAAAAGTTAAAAAAGAAAAAGAAAAAGAGACTGGGTGAATCATTTTGTAGTGTGTTTTTTTCTTTTTAATTAGTTCAAGAGAATTGACAAGAAAGCACAAAGCGTGGCAGAAGAAAGATACAAAAGAAGCAATAAATAAAGTAAGAATAAAAACAAAATGAGTGAGAATATAAATAATACCTTTATTCAGTCGCACAATTAGCAGTAGACTTTCCATTAAGGCAACCTCTTACGTTAAAACTTCAAATTTCTCTTAACTTATTTTCTAAATCCGGTAAATTCGACCAACCACTGCCCCACCACAATGATGACTACTCTTTTACCGGCTACACCCGGTCACCCTGATACTTCCAATTTGGTCCAAAACTGTACCCATATTCCCGTCGTTTCACCATTCCCATCGGCCACGTGTTCGCTGTTTGCAGTGCTTGCCACCGTCCGTTGTGATCTGATCCGACGGTGGATGTTGCTTGGAAACATAGGATATTTTTCATGAAATGATTGATTCTTGAAGAGTGCGAGCTGGGAAGAAGAATCTGTATTATGATTAAAGTGAAGCTAAAGTTATGGGAAACTTTCTTTTACAATTCGCATCAACATAAAGCTCCCGACATTAGACCTTCACCAAAGTAAGCAAACATTGGATAATGTGGTTCAATTATTTCATGTCCTAATTCTGCTTACTAATGTTGATTGATTTTTTCTTCGTAACATAGTAAGATGTTTTAAATTTGAATTTCTTATTAATTTCCAAAAAATTTATTTAAATTAGAATAATTCATTTCCTTTTCATAATACTCGTTGATGCGAACCACATTAAATATGAATCATGTTGTAAGTCATTAGATTGATGCTAAAAGACGGTTTGACGATAAAGTAAAACTGTAAAATCACATTCACATTTAGTATAATCAACTTTACGTGGTTCATTAAGGTAATGCAAACCACATTAGACATGTATCACGTTCTGAGTCATTAGGTTGATAACAAAATATGGTCCAACGAGAAAGTAAAACCTATAATCATATCGACAATCAACCTCACGTGATTTGAGAGGGTTTCACAAAATTTGTATTTTTACTATCAACAGAAATTTAAAAATTCACCCCTTAACTTGTGATCTTTTGATTCAAATTCTCGACTTTTAATTTGGTTATGAGTTCATTAATCTGTTAAATCATAAAATCTATTTTATGTTAGCTTTCTTCACATGGATTGTCAAAAAACTAACCCTTAAATTAAATTTGATGCAAAACTAACACATTTGATGGTAGGTACAAAGCGACACCTTTAGAACCCCAAGAGAGTCATAACCAATCAACCACCCAAATGGGAATAAGATATAACTTCATTGGGCATGTTCCCCTTCATCATAAGCGATAATGGATGCACTTAACTTAGGTATAACATAGCATATGTGGGTTAAGTAATTGGTAAGAGTAGTGTGCTTATTTTTTTACACTTAAATTCAAATCATTCTTTCCGTAATTAGAATATTTGAGAATACCCCACCTATTTAAAATAAAAAACTTAGTAAAACAAGAATAAATAAATAGTAAAAGACAATTGTTCACGTGTATAATTGTCAATTATAGATATTAGCTTGCATGAACTATGGACACAAAGGACCCTAGTATCATAAAATTGGTATCCTAAGCATCTAACTCCATTTCAAGATTCTGAAAGCAACAAGCCTTTTCTGCCTTCCAACCCGCGTTTCACTGTTTGAGATTGATTTGGAGCTATGGTCTACTCGATAGTGCTTCATATCGATTGAATAAAAATAGGTTATGATTTCGAATAAGACGTTATGATGAAATTAATAGACACGATGGAAATAATAATGAACTCGTTTTATGTAAATTCACGAACCATAAATCTATGATCAGTGGCATAGCAAATCAAAAGGCTTCATTCGGATAGTTCGTCGAGCACTTAGTAAGCACCTGTGAATTTTTGCCAACATATGCCAAAGGCTTATACCAACATATCGACAATTACTATTATTTGTAGAGAGAAGGTGGATGCAGTATTACTGTGGAATAATGTTCAAAATTGTCAAAACTTGTCAACTAAGGTATTTCATTCAGCACATGGTGTTCAAGTCATACAGAAAAAGAGATAAAAGAGAGACAAATATTATAGGGGAAAATAAAAGAAGTAAGAGAAAAATGTTGTAATTTAGTTCGTCTTATTTGTTTATAATGATTAAATACAATACACAGACAAACATATATGGAATTTTTAAAATTATTAAAGTCAAGAACAATCAGTGATTTTATGCTGATTCCGACCCTGTGTATGATATACTTAAACCCACTCTAAAAAACACACTCGGTGTCCTGACCTTTGCGTAATTCAAATAGCCAATCGCCATGCATGGGCCATAAAAGAAAAGAAAAAAAAACATATTCAAAGTGCAACATGATGAGGATGGTTCGCGATGATGCCACTACCCTACAAAGGTACCTTGTCAATATTACCATTATTTTATTTATTTATACCTATTATTTCTGGAACATTGTAGAAATAATTTAAGAAATAAAATTGATTGGTTTAGGGTTGCGTAGTGGGTATATTTTTTTATTGTCTGCAAAGAGGTGTACGAGGTTTGGGGGCGTAGGGAGACGTGGACGCTCCTTGACCTTTCCTTCAACGTCCCTTCCCTCAATAGTTTAATCCCCTTCGTTGAGTCAAACTTTCTACTTTTATTTATTGTGTCCTTTTTTTTATTGTTCCATTTTTTTAATTCAATTTTTATAATAATTTTTTTAGTCTTCATCTGCAATTAGTGATTAGTTTAAGATGAGAAGGACACAAACAATAAAATAATCCAATCATAGAATAACACATAAATGGCGAAATATCTGTGTAGAAAATTACTTAGATACCCTTCTTCGTTTGTGTCGTACAATAACTCAAGTACACTCTTTGTTTGAATATTTGGACAAAAATAGGAGAAGAATTTGTATACTACAGGTTCATTGTTATGATGGCGTATTATGTTAATAACACAAGTACACGTAAAAAGAAATTATCACATGATTTTATGTTATTGACATATAAAATTATCATAGCAATATACTTGTGTCATACGACTAGGTCGGCTCTAAAAGTAACGAAAAGAGGCGCCCGCCTAGGACTCCTGATGTCGGGAGCCCGAAATTTTTGTACTTAATAGATATATCTTATATAAGTAAAGGTAGAAAGAATATTACAAACTGACAAGTAACGTAGTGAAAAACACCCAAAGCTTCTTCCCTCAAGTTTCGTGTTTTGAGCCCTGGCGCGTACCCTGCTTTTAATACCTTTTTAAAATTAATTTTTCTTTTTCCAAAAAATTGGCCCATACCAATATATTTAAGACGGGCCCATTCCAATTTAGTAATCGCCCTTCCGGCCTTTATTTTTTTATTTTTTAATCAAGACAAACAAAAACAAAACCCAAGCAACAAAAAAGAACGTATTTCATGTGTAATTATTTTTGGCTTGTCTTCTTCTCCAAAACAACCATTAACCCTATAGCCTTCACGTCATTCCTATGCAATTCTCTCTCTCTAACTTCCTCTCCGTCTCTTTCTTTTTCAAATTCCAAGTCTCTTTATACAAGTGCTGTGGCGAATAAAAATATATCATTAAGTTCAGAAGATTGCAATTCAAGGTAAGAATATGGAAACTATGAGTTTAATCTTTTCTTTTCTTTCTTTTTTTTTTTTTTTTTTTGTAATTTGGTAAACTAAGAATTTATATTTTATTGTCGTAGATATATTTTGTTTAGTTTGTTATTGTGATATCCCGTCCCGAAAAATATCGAAACGTACATGTGAAATGACCATTTTGCCCCTAGTTAGTTTGTTTGTGTTATTGGTTATTTGTGTGCCTTGTTGGCATGCTTGGGGATCACACACACACCCTCACTGTCCCTATCCCTCTCTCAGTCTTTTCCCCTGTCTCTCTCTCTCCCGTGCTCCCTTTCCCCTTCCTTTTCACCATATATGTACGGACTACACCCAAAACTCCTCAAAACCTGGTAGATCGAAGAAACCAAGGACACTTTCAAACTCGTGAGGCTGTGAGGAGCACAGACGTACCATTTTCAGGTGAGAAACCAGTCGTTTTCACGTCGATTTCGTAAGCTTCGTTTTGAGCACTGTTCATGCAAATTTATTCTAGCTTGTTTTTGGACTTTTGAAGCTCTTAGATGTCTTTGTGAAGTTCCTAGGAGCTTGGGAGTACATCGTTGGACGAGATTGGACGTAGGAATAGCCTGGTTCGAGTTGGCCGGTTGTGGAGTTTTTGGACAGGTATAATCTTATGGTTTTAGGCCTTAAAACTTGTTGGGACATGTTCTACTAGTTCTAAGGTTGATTTTGGTGCAAGAAATGTGAAAAATGAGCGAGAAAACGTCGATTGCAGGTTTTCCAGTTTCCGGCGCCGTGATCGGGGAAGGAGACAGAATATTCCGTCAATTCTGACGGAATATTCCTGACGCCGTTAACGGAATCTGTCAACTTTGACGGAATATTCCTAACGGCGTCAGTTGACGCCGTCCGTGTGCGCCACACGTGCCTGCGGGTGGCCGGAGCGTGTGGCCGTGCCTTGGCCGGCGCGTGCGGCGGTGAAAAATTTTTCTAAAAATTCTGGTGTGTTCCTGAGGTTGTGTAGAGCACGTTGGTATATTCAATTGTCCATTTTGAGCAATGTATGAGAAGTTATTTTGAACGGTTGGTTATGTGCTTTAAAATTAACGTTTTTATAGTTAATTCGCATATAGGTGATTCCTATCCCGAGGACGAGCGTGCACACTCGAGGCAGGGGGGCTACGACCCTTCCATATACCAGTGAGTGGGCTTTTGATTTTCCGTATATACCTATATACATATAATTCCCAGAAATTAGTATAAATGCTTATTCGTTATATGCCGTTTCTTTTATATAATTGGTGGTTATGCATGATTAGTTGCATCTATGTTTATTTATAAATTCAGTTATGTGTATGTATATATATATAATGGTGCTGTGGAGGCACAGGTAAGTGCCAGGTAAGCGTTATTTCATATATGCATTCAATAGTGATTAGAGATGCTTAGAAAGCTCATAACCTGCACCCCCGGTGTTAGTGCTTCCGCCCAGAGTAGGGCACAGTCCTTCACGTGTTGTTCACCTCCCGCACCACACGCTCAGCTTGGATCCAAGTTAGGTGCACAGTCCTGTCGTACAGACCACTATAGGTGGTTCCGACTCGTAGGTGACCCGCGATTATTCGCACAGCCTTCACGTGATCGTAGCACTAGAGCGTTTATATGTATTACACCCAGACTTGTCGTACAGACCACTATAGGTGGTTCCGACTCGTGGGCAGGTTTAGTTGTTGAGATTGAGATTTGAGCTCTAGATTCAGCCGTACAGGTCACTTTAGGTGACTCCGGCTGCCAGTGATAAGTTATTGACACGGTTTATACCTGAGCACTTGCATATTATTATGAGGCTTTGAGCATGACGGCATACCTTTGAGCATGATGGCATACCCTTGAGCATATTTGGCATATTTATACCTACGTATATATGTTTATTTTCTGGGAAGTATACAGGTTTTACGGCGAGGGGTTAGAATGTATTTTATGAAATGGTTTTCAAAGAATTTGTTTTTGCCCACTCACGCTTTTGTTTTGCGCCCCTCCAGGTTCTAATAGCTTAGCGGGTTTGGTGGTTTTCCCAGAAGACGTCCCGGCATTTCTGACAGACACTCACCGATGTAGGGTCACCTTCGGGTGCACTATTGTTGTATCTTTTCTTTTAGACTGCTGTAGGCTTTAGGCTCTGAATTCAGCGACTCACTTACGCTAGCACTTATCTTATCACTTTATGTATGCTAGTTTTTAAATTATTCGTACTTTTATATTATTTCCTTTAGCTTCCGTACTGTGCACAAGACTTCGTCACCTCCACGTGACGGCCAGCATGCCCTGATCTCGGTTGGGGTGTGTCAGTTATTTTTTTGTTCCAATTCAAATGTTCATAAGTGATGATATGATAATATATTTAAGAATAAATTATAAAAAAAAAAAACAAATTATATGATCGTTAGGCATTGAAAAGATTCTAAAAGATGCTAGGTGCTAGTCGGACGGTGAGCTAGGACCTAGCGTCTAGGCGGACTAGGCAGATTTAGGTAAATCTATTATATTTTGTGTAAATAAATGTCTGCTTATACTTTAAATATATATAATTTCATCATAAACTACAAAATAAAATAACATATATTATGAAGTGTTGGAACATAATGAAAACATGGGAAACAAGGGTATAATGTGTGTTCATTTAAGTATGCAATAAGTCTTTTACAATTTATTGACAAAAATAAAATGCAAAATGAAAGTTATCTATTTTCTGTTTAAGTGAGTCGCAACCTAAACGGATTTGGGCAAGCTAAGCAGGTGCCTAGACGGTCTAGGCGGGCGCCTTAGTAGGCCTAGACGCCCTTTCTTAATTTTCAGATGCTTAGGCATTAATCGGGGCAGTGGCCCGCCGCCTAGGGCCTAGGCGGCCCTAGGCAGAGAATTTTAGAACAGTTTGAAAGACCTATGAACTAAAGAGCCTCCTAACAATCGCTCGCCTAGGGGTCCCGAAATCTCAGAGTCAGCCCTGCAAAGTAGTTGCTCTCTATAAATAGATAAAATTCTTGTTAGACCCAAAACACAAGTTAGAGTCGATTTTTCAAACTTGTAAAGGATTTAAGTCGAATAACAACGCAAAGCAGCTTTATTTTGAGTCTTAAAATCTTTTGTATCTGAAAATTGTTCTAAATTAGAAGAGGTCTGAAAGTCTAATATGCATTTGATTAAAAAAAATGAAAAAGAGAAAAAATTGATCCTTCTCACACAAATCTAAGCCATGCTACCCAAATCATCTGGATGAAAATTATACTGTTAAATATATCTTGTTTCTAAAGGAAATTATATTGGTCTATCCCTAATATCTAACTTGTATGCTGGATTTTTATTTGATTTTTGTTCCAATTTTTATGTTATATACAGACGTAGTTTTGAAGACTTATCTTTGATTTCACGATTTGGCATTTGGGCAAAAAAAACTTTTTTAATCGTAAAACACATTATTAATTAGTTTGAGGTGATATATAATTATTGCTTTCATATAAAACTAATTAAAGGTATTTTAGTCATTTGACATGAATCACGCGATTCACACCAGACATGGAACATCAAGAACATTAAATGGACCTCATACTTGACCCTAGGAAAAGGAAAAGAAAGATCATTGGACCTTGGAAATCAAGGGTAGACATAAAGCTATGCTAAAGAAACAAAATGAGGATTCATAATACAACTTTTGAGGTTTAAATTCATTTCGCTTTATTGAATAATAAACGTTTTAGAGGAATTTCAAGAAGACTCTTTCAAAATGGGACTTTCTATTGACTCTTTGTCATCTCATGTTTATTGCATAATATTTTATAATGTTGGTATGAATTTAACGTTAAACTGTGAAGCGGCAGAGAGTCCATAAAGACTCTCGCTTTAAGAGATTAATTATCCTAAGCATTTTTCAATGTTTTAAATAACAAGAACTTGCATGCAATGTTTTTATCAACATTATGTCATATACCTCGTGCACATGCACGTATTTCTCCTTAACGAATTAAACCCCAAGCTCCAAACATTAGGGTTGGTGAGGCTCCTTGTATTTACTCCCAGTAAATTTATCAATACACTAACTTGCTTTTCATACCTCCAATATACAAATTTTAGATTCACAAAGTACAGAATGAAAATGTAACTATGCACTAAAATATATCTGTAGTTGTACTGATCAACTTGTAGTTGTACTATCTCCTTGTGACAAAAAGTAAAAAATAAAAGTTGCACTGTCTCCTTTCTTTCTTTTTTTCCTTATTTTCTCCACCCCACAACTCCCAAAACAATGATGTATTTTAAATATTATACAAAACAAAACAACAAAATAATCATCCTTGATTAAATACACCGTAGTTTAGTAACTTCAGTTGTACTTAAAACTTAGAAAGTATTTAAGTAATGGCAATCATCTGGCAACTAACAAGTTTGTGCGTGATTTAACGAGCTCAAATTTCATCGACGACAATTAAAAAATAAACCAGAAAAATCATTAAATTTGTACTAAAGGAGATCAGTTTGGTGAGGCAAATGCCCCTGGTTATGGTCAAGTTTTATGTATCCGAAACTTCCACCTTCAAATACAACAGTGTTACAATAAAAAAAAATTACTAAATAGGTAAAATAGTGTTGTAAACATTTCTAGTTTAAATGTGATTGTGTAAATCCTAGATTAGATTTGATTCTAGTTATCATTTCCTATTGTATCTTGTATTCCTTGGGGATAAAGGAATGTATTCTCTCATTTTACTACTATAAATAAAGGCACAATGTAGGAAGGATAACAACACACATTTCCCTACAATTCTACAAACACATCTCTCTCTACTGCCAGCCCCCTTTAACCTTGTCAGATAAAATAGACTACAACACATTATCAGCACACTCATACCGCTGCACTTAGGAATCTAACGTTGAAGAATTTTTTCTGTATCAAACCAGTTCATCCATATCATCATGCAATCAGGTTCTTCCAAAATAATGGTTTTTATCTCGATATTTTTGTAGCCTAATAGCATGAACATTTACCATAATACATGACCCAACTTTACGTTTTTCAAATTTTAGATTCTACATAAATTGTGTATGCATTATATTCATAATTGTTGAATTGTGTGAATTTGATATTTGCCTTAAACTGCATCAAATATATGTACATGCATCAAATTATTGAATTGCATATGTTTTGAATTGAATTATATATGAATTGGATTAAATAATAATAAAAAAAAATTTGGAATCGGGAAAACTAGGGTTCTTTGAGCCCTCGACCTCATGCATGGTGATGGCCCACACCCATAAGCTAGCCAAGCCTAATACAGAACCCAAGCTGCAAGCCTTGAATCGAAACGGTGCATCTGATGCACCACCGTCTCGACCCATGACCTGAAACCCATGTCTCCCACGTCCATTTTTCCGACGAAACACAACATGCAGTCGTGCAATTTGGACAACCCCATCGTTCTCGCCAACGATTTCTCGAAATTCCGGAAGAATTTCATGCGTTTTTTTGCTCGAATTCAATTGAATTCATTCAGTTCTCTCTCTCGCGACATTGAGATCACTTCTCCGTCGACAAACATCTGGTTCTCCGACGAACCATGGCTTGCTTGACCTTGGAACGCCTCCTGACGCGGCGCCATCGACTAATCCCGACGTTCTTCCCTGGCAATACACACCCAGCACTCGCTAGGCTGCTTCTTGGTCCAACAACATAGCCCTTTGTGCTTTGATTTTTCTCGGACCAATCTAAAACCAAAAATTGGTTTTGGGTTTGTATGCCACAGCCCACTGCAAACCATTTTCTCGGCCCACTCACCAGACAAGCCCAATTGGGCTTTCGTGTTCCCTGCACCTCGTAGCACAAGATCACTACCCCTGCACAGGCCATCTTTGGATCCAGCCCATAATTTTGGGCCTACTACTCAAGCCCATCCCCTCTACCTTTCTCACCGTGGGCCTGCAGTCCCACCCGAGACCAAATCCAGCCTTATTTTG